TTGCTCTTTGTAAATAAACATTTATACACATTAATCATTTACAATATTTATTTAAATCGAGATCGCGACAACAGTAACTAAAAGAGTCACTACCATGGATTTTTGTCATCCAAGTACGCAGAAATTGTACAAAAACTTTAGTGTATAAAGTTTTTGTTTCACTATAGTTTTCATTCTCGTAAATGACTTAAGAGTGTATAATAAGTATTTATAATACCCCAAAAATAAATTTGTGACTTTGTGCAGACGACTATCAAGAACAGGCAGTTTATTTTTATTCATCATGTCAGTGATGAATAAAAATAAACTGGAATACATAAGTATTGCACTATTTTTCATAAAATATTTACATTACTTACATTTTCATAAATGTACTGACACACTAGTGGACGAATTTTAATTTCTTTCTTTTAAATTTTAAATTTCCCTTACTGGACGTTTTTCATCCGTTGTTCTGCAGCTGCGGTCAAGCTCAGTAAGAAACTGCGTGGGACAGTAGTATCATAATAGTCGTATAACAAGAAAAGAAGGGCATCAACTCTCGCCTGTTCGGCGTATCGATGCTTACGTAGTAGTTGTACCTAAAACGTGTAAACATAATTTAAGACATTTAGGTGTTCAATAGTTTATTCAAGAAGAAATTATTTATAAAGAAATTATAAATTTCACTAGTTTCCTCAAGAATAAATTATTTTGGATTTGTGCGCTATTGGTACGCATGTATGTATGCATGTATGTACGACGTTACTTATTATAATAATCGCATACAATTTTTTTATCTTGTATTATGTTGACAATACAATAATTACTATCGTAAAAATTGACGTAAATCTAAATTAATGACTTATTAGGTTCATTTATTAAAAATAAACATGTTACACCTAGTTTACAGAAGTGTATGTGATAAACATTCAATGTACTTTCGATATTTAAATTCGAACTAATTAAAAGTAGATACACGAATTAATTGCAATCAACTGACGTTATTATTACACCACTGGCTGAACGAATCGATAATGAAGAGTGAATAGGCATTATCAAATAATTCCTGATGTTCCTGAGTAAATCAGTGAAGACGGTGTTTCCTTAAACATTTCTCTAAGGGCGCGTTTATTCGACACGAACTTCAGCGCGCCGCCGGCGTCGCCCCGTGCGGAGACCGCGTGCACGTGTTCAGAGGCCGAACTGTCATGGCAAAATACGCTCTAATTATTTAGCTTTTACGTTTTAACCTAAATGAGAGGCTGGCTTGTCTTTGACCTACGCGGCGGCCGCGCCTAGTAAATAGAATTCAGATTCGCCATTAAGGTATGTGATAGCGTAGTAACTAGGTAATTACCGCGCGGCGACCAAATGAAAACTTTCGTGTCTTGTAACTGGGCGCTTAGCGCGCGTTTATTCGATACGAAATACAGCGCGCTCACACACAGCGTGAAACGGCTACTCCAAATCTGCTAATAGACAAAGTATCTAATTTGTTTTTGTTTTCCTTTATTAATAATTGCTGAAACTTTTGCTTTAATCCTAGCATTTAATTACGTTGGATCAATCAATTTGTATTTCTCAGGAGTTTGATTATTCTAGGAAGTTTGTAAAAAGTGAAATTTGCTTCAAATTAAACTCTTGTACCTGAGTTATTAAAACAATAACAAGGTATTTATAGACACCCTGTATATTGTTTATTCAATGATGATAGACTGGGGATCTACTCGTTCGTCATCTACGCGTATACGCGCCGCAGACGCGCTGTAGTAAATCAATTCAAACGCGTGCAAACATCGCGTCGACTCCACTGGAGTTTACACTTGGAATTTCATGTAGTTGCTTCATTTCAAAAAACTAACTGAAATTAACAAACAAAACTAAAATTAAAACTATCTTTTATCAAAATGCGCGATACATAACCACGCGCGTTTACGGCGCTTATACACGCGTCGTCAGTCGGCGTGATAAAATACAACGTGTGCACAGTCTCTTACTGTCAATTAAGAAATACTCGACCAAAATCAAACTACAATGTCAAGTATGAAACTTCATTCTCTCTTAAACTTCTTCTTCTCGCATTATGCTTCTTTTAATTTGGTCGAGTACTATTTGCTCATTTGACATTAATTGTCACGGATGGATGCCGGACGTACAACGGGACTAAACCCCAAGTCAGAAATAACTGGGACTAGACCGTGCAGGTTTCAAATAATTAAGCATTTATTTATCCACTTTTACAATTCACTCATCATAACCTCTATATTCACATCAAAGAATATTTCTTTACCTAATTGGTCGAAAATTAGGAACACAATGATAGTCCTCGCTACTCTACGTCTATAAAAACCATCCGATAAACGTGGCTCCACTATAGCCATGCGCGCGAAAATATCTTTCCTGTTTCTCGGTTTCAGTTACAATCTTTTACCTGATTTTAAACAACAATTCTTCAATCATTCATCAACAATTCTTCTTTCGGCCACGGAGGCAGTTCAACTGGGATCAATGCTGATGTATCTACCCTTTTTCCAACAAAACAAGAATCATCAAAATCGGTTCACAAACGCAGTAATCGCATAACATACTCACAAATAAATATAGTCGAATTGAGAACCTCCTCTTTTTTCAAGTCGGTTAAAAATTTGTTGAATTACATCTATTTACCAAATTTTATTGAATTCGGTTAACGGCAAGTGGGTGGAGTCCAATGATAAGGATTCATCATATAAACTTATTAATTTTAAAGTATCGTAGAAAACCATAATATGTATTATTTCCAGTGCGAAGATCAATGATATTATTACTTGTAAACAATAGATGCGCAATCAACCCACGGCACTGTTGTCCACAGGCAACAGTGACATCAGTCACCGTCTTGAATTCGAGTGAGTACAACGTCACCGATTATCAAAAACGGTGAAACATGTAATTAAAATTTGCGATTCTCGGTTCGAAAATGATCATTAAACTACTGAGGTTACTTTCCACAGGTAAGTTTGCTTTTGTTTGTTTAGATTGTCATAAATAAAAGAAGATGCACAAAATTAGAAAGTAAGTCACTGAAAACACAAATCACACTAGCGGTGCATTGTTTACAGGAGATGTTTCAACTGTGGTAACAGATGCATTTGGGTTATGCTAATATTAGTTCGTATATATACAAAGCAACATTCGGTGGTCTGTACTATACAATAGCAATAATTGGTAGCCCATACTGATGTGCTACGTGAAATAGGTGTCCTTCAAGGTTCCTTCCTATGCCAAAGAGCTCGCAAGACCCGGAAACCCAACCGCTCCATGAGATTCAAAACATCAAACTATATCCAATGCAAAAGAAAAACAATCACGCCCTGACGAAAACTTATTGTATTTTTCGTCAGTGTTCATAGTAAAATAATTGATTTTTGTAAAGAGTCAAAACCTGGATATTTTTATGATATCAAGTGACGGAACGAATAAGTCGTGCGCCCGGTGGTAAGCGACACGCCTGTTCATAACAGTTGCAGTGCCACTCAGAGCTTTAAATCGCAAAGATCTGAGGGACCCTACCACTGCGCCTGTCATTCTGAGACAAAAGTTGACAAGTCCCATCTGCCTGTAATTTCACCAGCAACCTTATCCTTCAAAACCGAAACGCAGTAATGCTCACATTACTGCTTGGCGGTAGAAATAAGTAATGTGGCTATAATCTCTGGACGAGCACATTCTTATGGAGCGCTACTGCTATTAAAATCTATCTTATAAACGTGTTGAATAAATTTAAAGATATCAATTTACTTAAGTATGAAATAAAGGCGTTTTGAATTTGATTTCATAATATGGATTCGCCAGTTATAAGTGACCGACCGGATCTATAATATATTTATCACCGAACTAGTATCTAAAATATTGTCTTACCCTATTCATGTACGTATTACGTAGTTTACATTGTCTAGCAATTTCGAGTAGTTATTTATCATTATCTATATAGCCTAATAAACCCACGTATTATGGCTTTAAGGCCTACTCAAATGGTGCCATTAATGACAGAGCCTGGTGAAAGTATACTACAGTCATTTTCAGATAAGTTTTTTGTACTCAAGTTTGATGACAATTCTTATTATTTAATTACTCGAATATATCATGAAAAAATGAAAAAGAATATTTCAGGTCACTCGAATATTAAATAATTCTTTATGATGATATTGTATAAATATTTAAATTAAAAGAAATTGTCACCAAAATTGAGTACAAAAATCACACCTGAAAATTACCCATTACTATACTCCGCCCAACCATTTATTTCACTTTTAAAAGCTCGAATACTACCCAATTAGTGATGTCCTAATACGTTTCCGATTCGATTTTTTCTAACAATCGATTTTATGTAGAAATATGTTTTAATCGTGAATGCGAGCGGGTTGCCTGATTGGGATCGTGATGTTGCGTTTGACAATTTGTGTACTTAAGAATAAAATTAATAATAATGTTAGTGATGATTCTCGTTCATATGAAGAAGAATCCGACGATTCGTTACAATAAACAATAAGAATTTATTATAATTATTTAAAATTTATTTTATTATAATTTGTTAGGTACCAAAACCCATCAATTTGAATAATCTTCGTTACATAATCTGCGCGATAAATAATCGAGCTAAAGAGATCGTCGTTTCACTATACAAAAAAAAACTGTGTTCATGAAGTATTGTATTTTTGTCTATGGTTGCCTGTCAATAAATAAGAAACTTTACAGGCATGCTTTATGTCAAAAGTGAAATAAATGGTGGACGTAGTATAGTTGCCGTTGTGATC